TCACGAGTGCGTGGACTACCTCCTAACCTTGTTGCTCCCAGCCTTCGAGACGAACACCAAGGCACAAAACGATCTGGAAGCTCGTCAAGAGAAACTCGAGGCGGCCAAAAAACACGTGTGTCTGTGCAACGCGGTACGCTGCATGCTGGACAGGATCGGGCCAAGATGCTATCGGACGTAGGATGGACGCACAGCCAAAGACATGGCGACGGGCGACGTCACGCCGCGCTTGACGACGTTTTTGGTCGACGTTGCAGAGGAGCTCGAGCTTGTCCAGCGCCGCATTCAGGTGCCAAGGATGCGAATCGAACGAGCGCTCATGGAGGACGGACATAGGAAGATGATCTCGTCAAAGCTGTCGACAGCCACGACTGGCCGCTTGTCAAGACGCTGCTGATCAAGGGCGTTGTCATCACGGATGCTGGCGTCATGGTGTGTCCATTAGCCACCATCTCGACGTTGGTTGGCACGGAACGAAGATGCATGTTCGTGGTTGTAGGACACGATTTGGAAAGAGGCTGTCAGCGCGGACGACGAGAAACTGATCGAGACGCTCTGTGGCGCACCAGGCATTGACACTTCGCTGCGTAACCAGGTACCTTTATCTGCCGAGTGACAAAAAAAGTGGTATCATTCTGTGTAGGCTGGTCGATCGGCACTGGAGGCAGCGATGGACGCCAACAAGCTGTCCGTGGTGTCGAGCATCCTCGACGCCTTTGCTGCAACCAACAGCGATGTCGCACCCGAGGTTCGTACATTGTGTGGAGAATGTTGTCTTATGGAACCTATCTATATGTAGGCGCTCTTGCCGTGGCACATTGCCGTCGAGCGAAATTCATCTGTCATGCTCGGTGTTCTTTTCACTCGAACGATATACAGCGTCAACAGCACAGACGCGGTATGGAGACACATGATTCGAATGCATTCGAATCATGCAACGACGACGTAGAACGGCTGGACGCCTGTGGCGCTCGCGATCCAAAACAACGAAAAAACTATGGTTGAAATGCTTGTCAGCTGCAAAGCCGACATCTCCATTGCACCGACGGTAGCAACAATATCTGCGTGTCTATTGTTGCGAGTACTCAACCGTGGTGTAGAACATGAACCCGCCGCTGCACATGGCGCTGTCGCAGCCCGACAGCTCGGGCATACTGCGAGTGGTGCTTCGCAAAGGCGTCACCGGCCTCGATGTCGAACAGCGAAACACGGTGCGTTTTGCTTCCCCATGTATCGACACAACTCTCAACCTATTGTAGGCCAACCATACGGCGCTCAGGTGTGCGGTCGTCGATGGCCGCGAGGAAGCAGTCAAGCTGCTGCTTGAAGCCGGTGCCAACGTCATGCAGTCGCTGCCGGTAGAGCAAGTGGATGCTGTTTCCTTGTGCGACCAAGTGCGTAGGACAATGGACCGACGATCTTGGCGGCCGCGGCGCAACGCCCGAATCGAGCGATTACAACCATGATCGACAACACGGTGGGCGCAGCCCTGAGCAAGGTCGACTCGATGTTGATGAGTGAGCTTGTCACATTACTTGCTGCTTAGATTTGGGCTGCGGACATTGGCTTTGGCGACCTTCAAGTGGGCGACATTCTTGGTAGCGGTGCGTATGGTACGGTCTATCGCGCCACGTACAAGAACCACAGCATTGCGCTCAAGACGTGCTCGATGAACAACATACGGGCATACAATTCCTTTCGAGACGAAATCGAAATCGCACGCCCGTACGTGCTCTATGACAAGTAACCCGAATGGAACAAACGCGCTGTAGAATGCGCTCGCCGTACCTTGTGCGGCTGCTGACGGTGGTTGACGATCAGAATGGCAAGCCACACATGGTGCTCGAGCTCATGGACGCCGGTGATCTCTTCGACTACATCGCGAACAAGCGCTCTGGGAAGCCCGTGAAGAAGAACTTTTCAATCGTGCAAGTGGCGTGGGCAGTCGCCAACGCACTGGCATATATCCACGGCGCCGGTCTCATCCATCGCGACGTCAAGAGCCTTAACATCTTTCTCTGCACGACCAACGGCGTCAAGCTCGGCGACTTCAACACGCTTCGGATCGTAAATGAGAAGATGACGAACAACGTCGGCACGCCAGAGACGATGGCGCCCGAAGTCACGCGTCGGGGCAGCGAATCCGAATGCGCGTACAATGCCTTGGCGGACATGTACTCGTTTGGCGTCGTCTTGGCCCAGCTCACGTGGATCCGCACACCGTGCGACAGCCCCCTCGATACCGAAAACACAAGTCGAAATGGGAGCGTCACCCCGGCCATCAAGCCCAACTGCGCGATGTGGCTGGAGACTCTGGCCACTCGGTGCTTGGCGGTCGACCCGACGGCGCGGCCGTCTGCAACTCAAGTCGTCGAGATTTTGGCCACCCACCTCGAGGACACCGACGACCAGGTCACGCTCGAGCCATCGCCCGAGGTGACGCCGTAACAAAGACCTATGGTGCTGTATACGTTGAGGCAGGAAGACGCATTCTTGTTGGTTTGCGTTGCGGGAGCGTACGAATGCATGCGACATGTGCTGAATAGGGGTAGGTGTGGGGTAGGGTAACATGCAATTCACCACCTCGGCACTAGTACACACAAACTACATTGGTTGACAGCGCCAGAAAAGACGTAGCATTCGACAACCCGAGGATCAACTCCCGTCAAGAGGCTCTGTACCGGTACAAGCTCCATCTCCAGTGCGATAATTCAATATACGTGCGTGGCATAGGGTCGCTGCTCAGTACAATTGTATCACATCGGAACGGCCACATCGTCGCTGTGTTTAAACCTCGTTTAACGCGCCATCACCAAACTCCCAACTCCAGGGTACAGCCAGCGAGACGGGTCGGCGTTGCAGCTGACGCTGCTTGCTTCGTTGTCCTACTCGTTCTGCCTTTTCCATGGACGCACCACACTTTGCCACAGCTCTGCCACGTCACGCACATCAATCGGCATATGCCGACTATAGCTGCTTATTTCGGCATCCAATGCCGAATCGAATAGATGATTTCGGCATCCAATGCCGAATCTAGTTATCGATTTCGGCATATGATGCCGAATCCAGTGCGATCCGAAACACGCAGTGTATCCTCAAGTGAGGCAAATATCCTCGTTCTAGCTTGGGTAGGCAGCCAATCTACTCGCTTTTTGTATCACCCAAAAAGCCTACCGGAAAGAGTCCTGATTCAATAATAAAGAATTCACGTCGCCATTGCGTTCATTCAGACACGCGTCAGGTGAATGGAAAAAATCAAAAATTAGCACCGGAGCGCGTTTGCACAAGGTGGACGGAGCTGGCAGACGGGATCCATGCCGCTCGCGCTTCGCCGCCTGGTCCAGGACCTCAAGGCAAGATACGGCGCCCTGCTCCACGCCTCCAGCCACATGCATGAGAAAGCTCCATAGACCTTATCCTGGCTGCGACCTGCGAGCTGGTCTTGCCATCGGCGGTGACGAGCAGGACCCGCTGGACCTGCAACCGACGATGCCGGTGGGCCACGTCGTCGCCGTCTTGGCGGCCTCTTCCTGCTTGCGCGTCTTGTCTTACCGCGCAGCTGCTAGGCCACTACGCGCGCACCGAGATGGTACAGCTGTCGGCAACGACGGCAGGTCTCGCTCGCCAAGGCGCCACGACGCATGGGCTTGGCGACGACTTGGATAGAGTGGATATTACGCGTCGGATCTCGCATCTACTGCATCCATCAACGGCGGCCGCTTCAAATGGTTCGCAAGAGATTGCGTGTGCGAAAAAGCGGTGTTTTTGGATGATCTCGTGTTGCTGCTCACGTGCCACGTGCAACGACGGCGTCAAGCGACGCTTGTGTGGCATTCGGGGCCGTTGGCGCCGGCGGAACGACGCCGCGTGAAGTTGGCGGCCCGCACGTCGTTATGCGGTCGCTCGCGGCAAAGGTAGCGTAGCAAAGAGCGCACGGTGGCGCTTGGCAAACCGGCTTGACAAAGAGCACGAGCCAGAGTGCCATGTTGCTCTTCTTGGCGTGAAAAACGTGGTACCCATCGGCAGTCGGAACCAACTTCAGAGGCCGTCTGCGCAGTTCAACTAGAGGCCTTCGTAGCGCCGCTCGCACGCAGAAAGAGCGCAGGTCCGCGCCGCAATGGCCTTGCCGCACATCTTGTGGGGGCCACAACGTTGCACGCCCTAAAATTGACGGGCGCAATGACCTCGTGGCCGCTCGCGTCGCAGTCCTTCTTGTAGCACGTGCCGGGGAGGCTGAGAGCAGGCTTAGACCGCGCCAATGCGCCGCGGTTGGCATCACGCGCCCCGTGAGCAGCGTGAGACGTCGGCACAGGACGTCGCGGTACCGCCATTGAGAAGGAAGACGGTCGACGAGATGCAGTGTCGCGTCCGACCTTGAGGGCCTTGAACAATCGCCCTGGGCTTGAGCGTATGGTCATTGAAAAGCCAGCGCTGGTCTTTGGGTTGAGCGCCTTTGATCTTTGCGAGATCATCGCATCGCCGTGTGAAGCGCCTGGGGCCGATTACGGCCATGGAGATCCGACAAAGCACCCGGCGCAGATGTTTGGTCGACAGCGTCGGTACGAGCTGCTCAATCTTGTCGCCGTCGTCGAGTTTGTTGCCGTGGAGAGAGAGCGCCGGGTTGAGGTCCTGCGCCCGGAGCTTGGCGAGAAGGGGCAAGGATTTGTATGGCCTTGGTAGTAGCGGCGTCTGCACTACTGGTGCTGCATGCTAGTTGCAGAGAGCTCCATTGCACATGTGATGCAGTGGCTATGCAGTGGTGCTAGAATCGTCGTCGGTGCTCGCGCAGTGTGAGGGATGGTCGATCTGATCCAGCATTTTGACCAATCAAGTGAGTACAATGTGACGACCTGCCCGCGCTGGTACATCAAAGGCGTCTGACTAAGAAGAATGCAATCGACGAGCCAACATGGTTTCTATGGATTGCATGCCGAGACGATAGCAATCAATCAATCAATTGATCAATCAATCAATCAAACGTGTTCGCGTTCAAATCAAATTGGCAAGAACTAGCTCAAAGATTTCGCATACTAGTACGTAGTGCTACGCCTGAATGCGTGGGAGTTGGCACCAGCGCTTGGTCGTTGGGAGTGAACTGCGCACGGAGAGATCCATCAACTAATAATACATCGTGCTACAGCCGTCGCCGGTGCAGGATCCTCACAGAAATCATAGTCGGCGTCGGTACTAAGCACGACGGCATCGTCAACCTCGTCGCCAGCATCCTCGTCCTCCGAGTCGACATTCGCGTCCAAGGCGTCCATGGCATCGGCCTCACCGGCCAGCTCGTCGTTATAGTCGCTGCGCCCGTAAATGATCTTGCGGTGTGGCTTGCGCTGGCCCCAGTAGTAGTACCGCCGTCGGTTCAAACGACAGCTATTGCCAAAGCTGCAGTCGCCGTGGGTCTCGGATTTGTGAATGCGCCGCATGAGCTGCTTGGCCGCGGTTGCCGCCTCGGCAACGTAGTCGGTGGCATCGGTGCCCTTTGCCAGTGCACGCAAGGCGTCGCAGTCGGTCGTCGTCACTTGGTGCAACAGCCGACCGTGCAGGCCCACAGCGCGCATCGCATCTTGTTCGTACCGCAGCCGCCGCAGCTGCTTGGTCACTCGCACCGCGATCGCGTGGTCGATAGCACCTCGCGAGTTGTCGCGGGCGAAAATGGTTGCGCAATGAGCACTCGGTAGCGCATCGAGGGCCGGGACATAAGGCAAGCCCAGTGCCTCAATGTCGTCGACGTCGCGGGCACTTGGCACGTAGATTTGGCGCATTGCAAGGCGAGCGAGGAGATGCTGCGCCGTCTGCTGGACGTAGGGTGCGACGGCCAGGGGCGGCACCTGGCGGAGGACCGCGTAGTAGGCTTCGAGAGGGTCGTTGTTGCTGAAGCGCTTGGTCGTGCGGCCTGTTGTTGCGCGGTGGAGCCGTCGCGCCCGCGCGTACACAAGGTCGCCCGAAGCGAACGAGGTAAAACGCGTCTCGTCCATGGCTGGTTGTACAGTGCATTCAAAGGCTACGGTCGTGGGCACTCGCACCATCATTCACAAATCGCCCTTGAGAACTTTGATGGCGAAGGGCTCTTTCTTCCAAAAGGTATGCCTCGAGGTCGAAGCATCGAGAACAAAATGGCGTCCGTCAACAGGAACCGCACCATAGCAGATGCTGGAACGCTCACCAGAGGATGTGTGGTGTGCGGCAACTTTCAAAATGCGATTCCAAATGTGACGAGTGTATAGCTGTACCAAGGCATGGAAAGTTCATGGTCTTGGCTGTACCAAAGATTTGGCTGCACCAAGGATTTGAGCGGTACATAGCGGTACATAGCTCGACTGGGATTCTGTTTCTAGTGAGCACAACCATGACGAGCTGTGGCGTCCTCCAGCCTTGTTGTCCCCTCAAATATCTCTTATAAAATGGCAGTGCCGGGACCCGATTGGCTCGACGAGCCGCAGCAAGACACCCTTCCTAGTCCATTCAAAAGATTTGGTCGTGTGGCGAAGAAAACACAATTTTTTACATTTACCCAAGTGCATATTGGGAGTGTTTTGAAAGCTGCGCGTATCAGTAGCTCGTGTGCCGCACACGAGCGACAGTATGCACAATTAAATACTTACATTTGTTAGTCTTACTGTGTGTGTAGTTAGCTTAAAGCACACATGGTCTGAGGCGTTGGCGTCGGTGTTGCGACCACGTCGACACAAAAGTCGTACTCGTCGTCGCTGCCTTCCGTTGCAAGGTTGCTTTCCTCGTCGTCATCATCGCCGTCGTCGGTAGTCCACATGTCGCCGAAGGCATCTGCATTTGCTGCGACCTCGTCGTCGTAGTCACGGCACCAGTTGGTCTTGCGATGCCGCTTCCCACATCCCCAGTCGTGCGTTCGCCGGCGATCCAGCCGACAGCTATTGCCAAAGCTGCAATCGCCATGGGTCTCGGACTTGTGGATACGCCGGCAAAACTGCTTGGCCGCCGCGGCGGCTTCCGCTGCGTAGTCTGTTGTATCGGTCTTCGCGGCCAGCTCTTGCAGTGTGCATCGGTCCCGGGTCGCGACGCGGTGCAGTAGCATGCCTGGAAGGCCGACGTGGCGCATGGCCTCACGCTCGTACTGCAACTGTCGCAGCTTCTTGCTCAATCGCACTGCCACCTTGTGCGCGTTCGGGCTGCGCGAGCCGTCGCGGGCCAAGATCTGATCGGTGTGATGCTGTGGCAGCGCTTCCAGGGACAACACGCGGGGAAGACCCAGCGTCTCGAGG